TGTGATGATCATTTGTTAATGTTTGCTTTAGAGTATTCTATAAATTATTGTTTAAACAGTTTAGGTGTAGTTACTGTAGCTCTTCATGTATTATGTATCTCTCTGTATAAATATTTCTTTATCTACTAAATCTCTCTTTGCCTCGCTATCTATCTATCTCTATCTCTCTCTTATTCCGTTTGTCTGCCCTTCCCCCTTCTCCTTTTCTTACATCTCGTTCGTGACTGAATAAATTCTTTTGTCTTAAATCTTGTGGAATTTATCATTTATTTTCTTTTTCGTCTCGGCTTCCTTCTCTGCGTCACTTTCTCTCTTTCTAAGAAGTAAATCCATAACTATCCGTTTAGACATATCAAAAACCGTTCAGATAAACACACAAATGTATATCTATCAGATAGACAGATGTCTGAATATGCGAATCTTCACTGGGTCGGGCCTCGCACAATTTAAACAAACTGGCCGTTGTGGTCAACACTGATCGGCGCAGGAAGGCGGGAAAACAAACCCTGACAGGGCTCTTTGCAGCTGTCACCAACTTGGCTGGAGTCCACAACGGCATAACATCTACTTGGTTTACACTGAGCGGCGCATCGTCGTAGTTTCACACTCCTGTCCCAAGCTGGAGCACTCCACTCTGCCTTCCGCTTGTGACCGCCTCTACTTCCACCGCACACGCTTCCCTTTGCTTGCATACCTGCACTTTATCTCTCCATAATCATGAAATTCCAACCACCTCCTCCAGTACCTTCCAGTAGATAATGGTATAGTGTAACACAGAGCAGTATGTTGGCCGACAATATCTTGTGGTATTTGTGAGATTAATTGTGTGCGTGGCATTAAAGAATGCTACATTTTCCTTAATCTTGGGAATAGCATAAAAATGTAATTTTTGTCACGGGGACGAAACAACGTTTAGTTGGAAGTCTCACGGCGCAGCCTGCAACAGGGATCACCTGAAGGGAAACACAAATATAATTGGTTGTCCGGTCGTTTTAATTACATACTTTAAAGTGTTTGTTAAAATTTAGAGCAAAGTACACCCTCGAAAAAAATATATACAATAAATATACATACAGATAGATCGAAAGTTATGTAGATATAGATAGATAAATAGATATATTGATATAGTCATTGTCATGATTTGAAAGTTTACATCACGAGGAAAACAATGAAAAACATGGATCTAAAACAGATATTGGTTCAATATATATGCGGCAGCAAGACAAGAAATGCGCCTTCATTTATCGGCACTTTCCACGTCTCGAAGATAACATTACACGAATCAAACGATGAATTTAATTACTGACTCACAAATCTATTTCTGTGACACTGGCTACCAAGACTTCCATAAAAAAATGAGATAACTTCAGTTAAAACAGTAATAAATAAATAAATAAATAAATGAAAAATAAAGAAATAAATATATAAATAGAAATGTGAGGTTAACCATTAATCCCTTGCGTAATTTCTTAAAAACAAACTAAAATATGTCTTAAGAATAAAATCAGATGGCACAAGGTATGAAACTGGATGTCCTTGTTGACTATGAATATAATTTTCGACCCGTAATCATGTTTATATTTTTCAGGAGATAGTATCGCCCTAATGAAATACATATATTGTTTTAAATAACAACGATGTTTACTTCCATTGACATTTTTGGATTAATAACAACACATGCGGTCGCATACATTACAAACCTAATATGAAGGATCAGTTATTAATCATCCATTATGGAAAACGATTAAATATGTAGTAAATAATATATTTCCGGTAACGGAGTGTAGCATTTAGGTTAACTCTGTCGTGCCTTTTACATTGATAGGTTGAATTATGTGAAATATTTACACAGCAATCGCGTTTTTGACGAAGAGATTTTCTTTAACATAAATCTGAAATTCAAGAATGACCAAAGAAAGTCTGGAAAAATATAAATAAAAGACTAATGTGCTACGAAGTCTTCAGCTAGGCTGCCCCTGCCTCACGCCTTGATATATTTTTGATAGCATTGAGCTCTCTTTGTACTCTTACAGATGTAATTTGTAATTTCCTACATTCTTCTGATAACAGCAAATATCAGTGCTAATACCAGTTGAAGTAATGACTTCCTTGAAAGCGATCCTGAACGCGATGATTTTTGGCGGAAAATCTCACGACGGATTCTCGCGAACGGTTTGGTCGTGACGTCATGATCATGCAGCTCAGAGGCTTAAACTTCAACAACAACAAAAGTCAAGGCGTATCTTATGATGAGGGGCCTACTTTGCCTAATTGCTTTATTTTCCTATATTCAAATATAATATTTTGTAATTATCAATGCTATCATTTATAGGTATGACGAAAACAAAACGTCATGATGACGTCACGGCCCCAGGCAGCCCGAGGCCAGCGCGAATGGGCTCAGTGTTAGCTTCGGTATCCATTGATCCTTTCGACATTGGGTTCAGGGAACATTTCGACTTCTCGGCCGCATAAGTGCGATGGCTGAGGACGCAAAGCAACTATTTTCGACGGAAGAATGGCTCTCCTTCCCGGAGATCGAGAAGAATCGCTTCGAGAATATCCTGAGAAACTACAAAGCGATGAAAGACATCGGTGAGTTGTGTCGCTTCGAATGTGCATTTCACTTCCATCGGTTATTTACCGGAAACGGATTTTTTTAAGTGAGGCCGTAGAGATGTGTCAGTTCTTAAAAAGAGATAAGGGTATTCACTCAAAAGGAAGTTCACTTTAAAACAAGGAAAAGCTGCCTTCACTGAAACCATTGGTGTCAATGGATTGAATTATATGAAAACTGGAATAGAGGCGTCAAGGGGGGTGGGGGGGTCAATTACCTCGCAAAAACTGACACCCTCTAGGCTTGATAGCAACAGGGGAATAAGCTAGCCGCGTGCAAAATGCCTGTGATTTGCATGGATTCGACCCTCGATGCCCTTTTCGAGCTCCATCTTTGTAGAAGTAAGTGGTGGTGTGTTAGGTTTTGTTGGAGCGCCAAGAGGCAGAATGTGTGCAAAAGGAAATGTAGAGAGTACAGCTAAGACAAGGTTAAGGAAACGCACGATCTCGAAGGCTTTTAGCGTCCATGTAAGGCTCGTTGGTTATGGAAGCGGAGGGTAGCAAATGCATTGCCTGGAAAAGCGTAGCTCTAAATATGTGTGATATATGTACATTTTTTTTTTTTCGTTTATATGCACACACACCCTTTCCAACACAAAAACTTCTGCGCAGACAACTAGATATACATCTGAAACGCGGGCATGGGCTTGTGTAAAATCTTCTTTTCTTTTTTCTTTCTTTTTCTTCAGCTTATTCCCATTTCTATACGGGGTCGCTGTTCCTCGCTAGCCTCTTCCATCTTGCTCTGTCCATTGCATCTTCCCTTCTGAGTCCCTTGTCTTCCAGATCTTTCAGCCTGTCCCTCCAACTTAACTTGGGTCTACCTCTCCTTCTGCGTCCATCCACGTGCATTTCCATAACTTGGTTTCCAATATGGTCTTCTTCACTTCTGATGACATGCCCATACCAGTTAATCCTTCTTTCTTGTATCTTTGCACTCACTTCTGTGACCTTGACTGTACCTCTGATGTAGTCATTCCTGATCTTATCCTTCCTCGTGACACCACACATCCACCTTAACATCCTCATCTCTGCTACATTCACCTTCTTTTCATGCACCCTCTTAATTGGCCATGTCTCGCTCCCATAAAGGATAGCAGGTCTCACAGCTATTTTATAAACCTTCCCTTTGAGTCTTGCGCTGATCTTCTTGTCGCAGAGTACTCCTGAAAACCTTCTCCATGCCTGCCACCCTGACTGAATGCGTTGCTTTACTTCTACATCCAGTTCACCGTCCTCTGTCACATGTGAGCCTAGATATTTAAAAGCTGGTACCCTCTTAATGATCTCATCATCCATTTCCACCCCATTTTCCTCCTCAAAATCATTAAATGAGAGGTACTCAGACTTTGTTCTGCTTATCTTCAAGCCTCGGTCCTCCAAAGCCCTCTTCCATTGCGAAAGTTTGTCTCAATGATTCTTTAGTATTACACACTAAGACAATGTCATCTGCAAATAACATTGTCCAGGGTGCCTCCACTCGAATTCCTTCGCTTAGAACGTCCATTATAAGGTCGAATATATACGGACTGAGAGTAGAGCCCTGGTGGAGCCCTACTTTGATGTTAAATTCATCCGTTATTCCGACGCAACTACTAACTTGTGATGTTACATCCCTATACATATCTTGAACCAATCTTACATACTTCTCGCTCACTCCCTTTTCTCTCATGCACCTCCATACCTCTGACCTCGGTACACGATCATACGCCTTCTCGAGGTCAATGAAAGCCATGTGCAGTCCCTTCTGTTTCTCCCTGTACTTTTCCATTGTCTGTCTTAAGGCAAAAATAGCATCTGATGTGTGTCTTCCCTTAACAAATCCAAACTGGTTCTCACTGATGACCGTTTCAGCCTCGATCCTCATTCCAATAGTCCTCTCCCAAAGCTTCATTGTATGTGAGATCAATTTAATTCCCCTGTAGTTAGTACAGTCCTGGATGTTACCCTTCTGTTTATATATGGGCACAATAGTGCTCTTCCTCCACTCGGATGGACTTTTCTCTTGCTCATATATTTTACTTACAAGATCCCACAAAACATCTACAGCAGCCTCCCCAAGGCCTTTCCATGCTTCTATCGGGATGTTATCCGGTCCAACAGCTTTGTTTGATTTCATTAATCTCAGCGCCTTTTCCACTTCTCTACGTGATATGTTATCAGTCCTCCTCTCTGTTGGTAAGCCCGCTCCTGTTTCCACTCTTGGGTTCTCTACATTCATTAAGTTTTCAAAATATTCCTTCCATCTCCTTTTTATAGTATCATCATCATACAAAACATTTCCTTCTGTATCCTTCATATGCCTGATATGTGTCTGATCTTTCGTACTCTTGTCTCTGGCCTTTGCTATTCTATAATTTTTTTTCTGTCCTCCTCTTGTATCGAGTTCTTGATACATTTCTTCCCTTGCCTCAGCTTTAGCTACTGCCACTGCTTTCTTTGCTGCTTTGTTCGCTGTTTTAAGCCTTTCTTCATTTTCCTCATTTCTGTTTTTATAATATTCCTTCCTTGCAATCTTCTGCTTTATAGTTCCCGAGATTTCTTCCTTCCACCACCAAGTTTCCTTGTCATTGGGTGGTCCTTTACCAGATGTCATCCCCAATATTTCCTCTGCAGCTTGTCGGATCATTGAAGCATTCAAATTCCACCACTCTTCAACTCCCTCCCTCAACTCTATCTGCTCCAGCACTCTCTCCCTGAACAAACTTCTCTGGTCTTCGTCTTTCAAATTCCACCACTTAATCTTAGGTATTGCCCTTTCTTTCCTTTCCTCCCTCTTTTGATGTTAAACTCCCCAATAATTAGGTGATGTTGTTTGGCAGCTGTTTCTCCCTTAATTACCTTAAAATTTCTGACTTCACTCATTTTACTTCTCTTGTATAATATGTAGTCCAATTGTGTTTCCTGTCCTCCACTTTCATATGTATTGTAATCCTTCTTTTTAAAGAACGTGTTCAATTTAGCCAGATCATATGCCACCACGAAGTCAATTAGCCGTTCTCCATTGGGATTTACAGCCACGCTCCCATATCTACCATGGACACGCTCTATTGCCAAGTTTCTCTCTCCCACGTGACCATTGAAATCGCCAGCAATCAAGGCTGTTTCAACATCCGGTATCTCTGTGCACATACTATCTAGGTCTTGCCAAAATTTGTCTTTCTCTTCATCATCGCAGCCTACTTGTGGTGCATATACACTCATTATATTAATGATTGTATTTCCGATAATTAGTTTAATCAACATTATTCGGTCATTCTTTCTCCAGACACTGATGACGTTTTCTTTATGATTGGGACTCAGGATTATTCCAACTCCATTCCTTCCTCTTCCATCTGCTCCACTGTAGAAAAGCTTAAAGCCTCTCCCCAGCTCTCGGGCCTTATTCTCCCTCCATCGTGTTTCCTGTAGGCAAAGTACCTCCAACTTTCTTCTCTCCATGAGATCCACAACCTCCCTCCCCTTTCCTGACATTGTGCCAACATTAAGGCTGCCGACTTTAACGGCTTGAATTTGAGTGGAGTTAGGCATTTCACCTCTCCCTGCAAAACCGGATATTCTTAGCACCCTCTGCCCATTTAAGGGCTGCCGGGGACTGAGGGCCGATATTCTTTCAGCTTCTGTCATGTTGGTTTGGAGCGGTTTTTATTTTACGATGGGCTTGTGTAAAATGCAAAAACTAAACACGCACATTTGGATTTTTCCAGTTTCAAATATTACAATCATGGTTTTACCAAAATGCTTCACTGGATTCTGGTATTTCCTTCATCACCGGCTTATACACATTTCCTCTCCAAAACTTATGCGCAGACATCCAAATATACATCTGAAACGCGCACATGCCCTTATGGAAAATGCAGACTCCTAAACACGCACATTACAATCACGGTATTACCAAAATGCTTCACTGGATCCTGGGATTTCCTTCATTACCGGCTCATACACATTTCCTCTCCAAAATCTCTTAACTGTGGCGCACTTTCAGGACTGGACCCCAAGCTCCCGGAGTTCGTCCTGCAACAACAGAGGAAGCGACGCAACCGGTTCGTCGTGCCCACAGCCAGGCCACCTCGAGTCCTCGACTACGATGGAGACGACGAGCGGACGCCCGAGAAGGAGAGATCTAGCAGGTAGGGCGATGATTCCACTAGGCATAGTGAAGGAAGATGCATGTACAATGCGTTTGCTGGAAGCTAATATAGTGGAGATTAATTGTAGTTGCAGGTATGCAAACAAAAATGGAAGCGTAGGCGGTGGAAGAAGAGGCGGTCATAAGGGGAAGGCAGAGTGGAGTGCTCCAGCTTGGGCCAGGAGTGAGAACTACGATGATGCGCCGCTCAGTGTAGACCAAGTAGATGTTATACCGTTGTGGACTCCAGCCAAGTTGGTGGCAGGTGCAAAGGGCACTGCCAAGGTTTGTCTTCGTGCCTTTGTCTCTGTGTTTGCGTGATGTCCTTCTCCCTTTTTTTAAATCCAGAATCCGTGTCCACTCCTATTTCTGTCTGGACATAAAACTGCAGGAGTCCTGGAACATGAGTGTTGCAAGAGTTTTTAACTATATGTGCAACTTTGTCACTGGGTAGTTGTGCAGACTACAACCAATATCTTCTCGTGTACAATAATTAAGCAATTATATCGGACTGTCAAAAGTTTATTTAGAAATGATGCAAAATGATTATTAACTATTTGCAGCATCGCCAAGCTCATTCATCCTAATATATTTATGCTTTATTACAAATGGAAGAAAGGATCTTTAAATATTGTTGAATCTTCCAGATAGTGCTAACAATAGCCGACAGGTCAAGTGGAGATTCCGCTGTGGAAAATGTTCAGCCAGCGGACAAGTGGATCTCTTCCGTTCCCATGTTACAGTTGGCAACAAATACAGAGACAGTAGGAGTGATGGAGCATCCAGCTGAGACTAAAACGCTTGGTGTAGGATCAGATGAAGAGGGTCGGGGAAACAGCTGTTTTTCAGGAGAGAAGTCCAAGACGCGGTGCCAAAGACATCGTAGCAGAAGGAAGCTGTTTTATGAAGAGCACATTACTAAAGATGACGATTTTATTTGTGAGAAAAAGAGCATTTGTTGCATCTTCATAGTTGTCGTTGCATGGATTTCATAATCTTGAATTAATTTCAATTCATCACGTTATTAAATTGTATTGATAGTTGCGCACTTAGAATTGTACATGAGGTAGATAGATTCAGATACCATGAATTCTTTTTGTTTGCAGATTGCGCAGACTGTGAAGAAGAGAAAGAGAGAGAGTGTCCGTACCACCCATTGTTCCTTATTCTGGATAACCCAGTAAGTGTGCCATCCATGTCTGAATATTGTCTCAAACATAAAATGTCATGCTCTCACAACTTTGGTAAGATTGAATATTTAACTAGTCACAAACATAACTGGTGACCATACACACATACACACGCACACAGTTTTAAATAGCATTATCATCCCAATGGTATGTTTGGACAGGTTGTTCGAGACGGCAGCGAGAAAGATCGTGCTCGCCTCACAGCCCCTTGGCCCCTCACTGTGTACGACTCGAAAGTGAAGGGGGCAGCAAAAGGCGTGTGGACCAATGCTCATCTCCCAGCCCATCTTGTGTTTGGTCCGTATGAGGGCCGTGTCCTATCTGGCCATCCGGAAGCCGGCAAAGAATCTGGCTATGGGTGGAAGGTTAGTTTATTCTGTGGCGTAAAACATATGATATTAGATAAATGATATTTTTTGCGGTTTTCTATAAGAGAAAATCCACTTACGCAAATAGTTGAAAGTTTTTCACCTTCCTGTACTTTCCAGATTCGAAGTGCTGGAACAAGGAATACATGCATTGATGCTGTAGACAGTGCAGTTAGTAACTGGATGCGTTACGTCAACTGTTCAAGGACTGACGCTGAGACTAACCTATCTGCATTTCAGTACAAGGGGCAGATCTACTACAAGACGGACTCTGCAATTAGCAGGTCAGTATAATTCAGTAGTGAAGTCAACTTTTCCTAACCATACACCTGTCATAACGTGCTTATTGATATTTAAAGATACAGACAAACAAGGCCAAACTAATTGTGAACAGGGGGAGCGAGCTGATGTGCTGGTACGGAGACGATTTCGGGAAGGATCTTGGTCTATCGAGAGAGCCATCCAAGTGGATATCAGCGAAGAAAGACGTAATAGGTGCGCAAATACGTTTCAAAACCTTATTTTCCATTCTGAAGGGAAAGTGTATTCAGAAATTGTTGGAATGAATTTGAGATGATATAGATTGATATTGTAAGGATAAATAATCCATAACTAAGCTTGCTATAATTCCAACGTGTGTGTGTGTGTGAGCATGTGCATGTGCATAAGTGTATTAGATGTATGTACATATGTATGTCTGCACATCTATTACATCAATGTATTCAAATATGTACACACACACACACACACGCGTGTGTGTGTTTACGTACATACACATTTGCATGCACTCGTGTGTGTGTGTGTATTTGTATATATATTTATTGTATATATACATTTATATATATATATATATATATATATATATATATATATTTGTGAATATAATATGTATGTATGTGAATATGTATATATACATATAATGATGGTTTAACTGCTGTCAGTTAATCTATTTTCTTTGATAATGTATGCACTTTCCCCATGTCTGGATTCTTTTTCAGATCGACAGTGTGAATGGTCTGGCTTAGTCTACACCTCGAAAGATTATCTAATGCGTCCCCTAAAAGTGTTCAGAAAGCGTATTCGCACTTACACGCCGCCAACATGCTCCACGCGAGGAACCAGCAGCAGTAGTGGCTCAACCAAACAATCTTTGCGAGAAGAGGCGCCGCAGTTCCCGGAAAAGGCGTCTCATGAGACGCCAGCATCTGATGAATCGCAGTGTGATTACAAGTGTGAATCTGCTGATATCCTAAGTCAACATGTGTTAATACACAGTGGAAAAGAACTGTTGGAGTGTTCAGAGAGTAGGAAAAGATTTGCTGACAGTGATAAGTTGAAGGAAACCCAAAAAATTGAATCAGGAGAAAGGCCGTTCGAGCATTCCGAATCTGGAAAAAGGTTTAAAGAAAGTGGTGATCTGAAGAAACCCCAGAGGATTCACTCAAGAGAAAAGCCGTTCGAGTGTTCCGAGTGTGGAAAAAGGTTTTATGCAAGTGGTTCTCTGAAGAAACACCAGAGGATTCACTCAGGAGAAAAGCCGTTCGAGTGTTCCGAGTGTGGAAAAAGGTTTAATCAAAGTGGTCATCTGAAGAGACACCAGAGGATTCACTCAGGAGAAAAGCCGTTCGAGTGTTCCGAGTGTGGAAAAAAGGTTTAATCAAAGTGGTCATCTGAAGATACACCAGAGGATTCACTCAGGAGAAAAGCCGTTCGAGTGTTCCGAGTGTGGAAAAAGGTCTAATCAAAGTGGTCATCTGAAGACACACCAGAGGATTCACTCAGGAGAAAAGCCGTACGAGTGTTCCGAGTGTGGAAAAAGATTTAGTGAAAGTGGTTCTCTGAAGAAACACCAGAGGATTCACTCAGGAGAAAAGCCGTTCGAGCGTTCCGAGTGTGGAAAAAGATTTAGTGAAAGTGGTTCTCTGAAGAAACACCAGAGGATTCAATCAGGAGAAAAGCCGTTAATCAAAGTGGTCATCTGAAGGCACACCAGAGGATTCACTCAGGAGAAAAGCCGTTCAAGTGTTCCGAATGTGGAAAAGGGTTTAATGCAAGTGGTAATCTAAAAACACACCAGAAGATCCACAGAGTGCGCTGAATTATTTGTCTCACCTGTACATTTTGCTTTAGATGTGAGGCTAAGATATAAAAGGACAGGGAAACATTTTTATTTTTTTTAAATTTTTTTTTACACCAAATGAAGGCCTCAGCTGACTAGTTTACTTTACCCAGTACGACTATCTGAAAACCTTTCTTATTATACTTTTTATTCAATCCTCAATGGTAGAGGGATTGTTATTAATGAATTTGGTGCATATCAATAAAAAAACGAAAGCAATTCTTGAGCAAGTTTGTTACTTATTTCCTATTTTTTGTCTCCAAAAGGATTGATTTATATAATATATATACATACGATATATAATATTTAATCCTACAGATTCGTTTTAACTTAAATAATACTAATACTTAAATAATAATAAGTTTTGATGTCCAGGAATTTTGGCGGGAAATCTTTGATCGTGACGTCATACTCGAGCACCTCTGAAGCTCAGACCTTTCAAGCACAACAAAAGATTCAACTTTTACTATGAAATTTGATAATTTCTTGAACTGTCATATCTAGAGACCATTGTGCAATATGTCTCGTGGAATCGATGGGTATGGCGAAAATCATTACAAACCCTCCTTCCCTCTCTCACTCTATCTTTATCTCCTTCCCTCCCCTCTCTCACACACTACCCTCCCCCTTGTTCTCCATCTCTTGGGTATCCCCCACATTTCTTACCTTTTCTCCTCCCCTCCTATCAACCTCTCAACCTCGCCTCCCCTTTCGCCACAACAAACAAGCATAAGATTGCATATTTGCTTTTCCTTACTCCCGCTCACTCACTCGAGACTCGCCTCATCAATTTGCCTTGCTTCATCCTCGTTTATCGGTTTCAACTCTTCCTCTTTCCGTCTTGTTTCAGTGATCCTGTCTTATTTTTATCATTTTTATCTTTATTCATGATTTTTATTTTTTGTGGCTGACTGGGTCTATGGTATCTCTTTTTTCTCATTTTCCATTAGATTTTGCTCTCCTTTCCCCTCCTTGTGCCCTCTTTCTCGTTTCGTTTTTTCTCTCTCTGACTGCCTGTCTGTCTTTCTATCTGTCCATGTGTGTGTGTGTGTGAGTATAAAAGGCTCTAAATCCTCCTATATGGATTTATTGAATTACTGGTGGCGGTAGAGATACACTGATGTAGCTGTGCACTTTTATTTAAGAACACTAGTATGAAAGGAACGCGATACGGCTCTTGGTGCTTGTGTCCGGCCTACACGCCAACGAGGTGGTACGGCCGACTACGGGCAAGCTCGCCGAGGGTATGAGAATGAGAGCTTGGGTCAAGCAAGCAAAGTTAAAAGAAAAGAGGTCGGCCACCTTATATTCTGACCAGTGGGCGCAAGCGGGCGCGAACGGACCACGTGGTCCAACCACGCGGTGCCCGGTCCATGTGGCATGCTATGCAGTATGCTATATCGCTCGGCACCTACGATATAGCATACTGCATAGCATGCCACGTGGTCCGGGTCCGCGCGCATGGCATGCTATGCAGTATGCTATAGTGAGTCTGTCCTTCACTCTCTGTATATTCTCTCTCTCTCTATCTGTATCTGTATATTTGTCTGTAACTAATAGCTTGCATTTTTAATTTTATATAAAACGATATATCATACCTTTCAAATCATTAAACTGCATTCTAGTGTTGCCATATTACTACTGTGCAATGATTGAAAAAAAAATATAGAAGTATAGAACGACTCAACTAAGACTTTGAATGAGAACGTTTTATTACCAGGACGTTTAGAGACAATAATAGTGAAAATTTGACAGCGCCCCTTGCAGCTGCCACTGACTTGGCAGGAGTCGACAGCGACATATACTTGCAGTAGGTTTGTTAAGATTTTGCGAGGTCCAACCCTATGAATGGTCTTATATACGGATATGCATATATTTAGACGTGCATATCAACCGTTCAGATTGACACATAAATGTATATCTATCAGATAGACAAATATGCATTGATTTCTGTGTATATGCATGTCTGAATATGCCCTTTGCAGCTGCCACCAACTTGGCTGGAGTCCAGAACGGTATAGCATCTACTTGGTCGTAGTTTCACACTCCTGGCCCAAGCTGGAGCACTCCACTCTGCC